CAGACACTTTGCTAGGTGTTCGGAATAAAAAGATTAAGAAAATACAGCTCCTGTCCTAGAATCCAGAGGACACTTACATAAACATGACAACAGATCAAATATTCTCTGGGCTTTTCTTTGTTTCATTTCTAACAGCATTCTAGATACAGGCAATATAAAAGATTGCATCTTTAATGTCATAGTGAGACTGAAAGTATTGCATTGTAGCTGTATGATGAATCAACCTTCTCATGAAAGCTCCTCTGCAATAATATGCAGAAGTCTGAATAATGAGCTATTCCATGGCCGAGTCAATGAGAAGCCAAAGGCAGCCCAACTAATGGTAAAAATATTACCAGAAGCTATCCCTGCTTCCTGAGGGTGAATACAGTATACAATTGTCTGGCAATTCAATAGCTCTGCTATCCTTAGGTAAGTTTATGTTTCTAAAATGATCATTCACGGGGCGCCTGGGGGCTCAGTTGTTAAGTGTCTGCCTTCGGCTCAGGTCATGATCCCAGGGTCCTGGGATCGAGCCCCGCATCGGGCTCCCGGGCAGCGGGAAGCCTGCTTCTCCCTCTCCCACTCCCCCTGCTTGTGTTCCCTCTCTCAGTGTCTCTTTCTGTCAAATAAAAAAACAAAATCTCTTCAAAAAAATAAAATAAAATGATCATTCACTAAAGAGTTCAAAGTACAACAGCACGAATAAGAAACAATTTTCCTTCCTTCCATATTTCACTTTGCGTTCTATTTGCCCCTGCTAATACAACATCTTTGAAAACCTATATTCTACTTTATTCATGTCTGCAACCTCAAAACTGCAAGCCTGACCTTCTTCTTAAGGCCAAACATGTATATATTTAAATGTGACATATATATATATATGCCCTAATATACATGTCAGTTTACATTAAAATCAGTATTTACCCCATTCTAAACTCATTTCTTTAGAAATATTAGATCTCTTTTTTAAATAAAGGAACACAAATTATTTTATCATATTTTGAACGTAATTCAAGGACTGTAAACTAAATATATTTAAAAGTAATGAAAAATGCATTTTAAAACTGTCCCTCAGGGCGCCTGGGTGGCTCAGTTGGTTGAGCGTCTGCCTTCGGCTCAGGTCACGATCCCAGGGTCCTGGGATTGAGCCCTGCATCGGGCTCCCTGCTCCGCGGAAGCCTGCTTCTCCTTCTCCCACTACCCCCTGCTTGTGTTCCCTCTCTCGCTGTCAAATAAATAAAATATTAAAAAAAAAAAGTGTCCCTCTTAGAATTTAAAGTGCTTTTTTACAGATATAAGCTTACAGAATTTTATAGAAACTCTGCTATGTACACATCTCTGACAAAATAGCCTCAGAAGAGCAAAGACAACTCACAGCCTGCTAATTGGAAGAGTTGTTTTCACTGACTGATGATAATTCTAGAAAGCTCCAATATACAATAATAGACAAGTATAAGAGAAGTTGAGAGGGGGTGCCTAGGTAGCTCAGTCAGTTGAGCGTCTGACTCTTGACTTCAGCTCAGGTCATGATCGCAGGGTCATGAGATCCAGCCCCAGGTCAGACTCTGTGCTCAGCATGCAGTCTGCTTGAGATTCTCTCTCACTCTCCTTCTGTCTCTCCCAACTGCCCCCCATGGATGCATGAGCTCTCTCTCTCTCTAAAAAAAAAAAAAGAAGAAGAAGAAGAAGAAGATCTTAAAAAAAAAGAGAGAGAGAAGTTGGGAGTAGATTTCAAGGGTGAGTACAGAATAAAACTGGCCAAAGCTTGAAGCTTAATGGTATAAGAGAGTAGAGACTATGAATAATTGAAAAAAAATGCAGAAAACAGAGTCACCATATTTTGGGGGGATAGCTACAATGAATGATTATTTTAGAAACATAACCAACAAAACATAAAATATTATTTGAGGCACTGGTACCAAGCTAAACATACCACTCTTACTACTAATTAATAATATTACAATTACTGATAAAATTTAGTAAGCAATTACACGCCAGCCACTTTGTAAAGCACCATAAATGGATTCAATCCTTATAACAATCTTATGAGATAGTTACCACCATCAACCTCATTTTATAAAGGAAGAAACCAGAGATTAAAGAAGTAATTTTCCCGGGGCGCCTGGGTGGCTCAGTCGTTAAGCGTCTGCCTTCCGCTCGGGTCATGATCCCAGGGTCCTGGGATCGAGCCCCACATAGGGCTCCCTGCTCGGCGGGAAGCCTACTTCTCCCTCTCTCACTCCCCCTGCTTGTGTTCTCTCTCTCGCTGTGCCTCTCTCTGTCAAACAAATAAATAAAATCTTTAAAAAAAAAAAGAAGTAATTTTCCCATTATTATGTAGCTAATTAATCAAAAACAAAACCAGAAACCAAGTCATGCGATTCTAGATGCTGAGAGAAATGCTATGCTGCCTCCTCAACCAGTAGAACAATGAGCCAGTAAATTGTGAGAATATTAACAGTAAACTGTTTCCTGCATATCCTTTTAGAGAGACACTCACAAATAGAAGAACAGAAGTTCTTTTACCCAACAGTATAAATTTCAAAATTTCAAACGAAAGACAAGGGAGAGATGCTTATAGACACTATGGAAATAACTATCTTTCTCACAATATAAATAGGCAAAGGACAGTATCTCCAAAGAAACAGTTTAATTGTTGGCTTATCCAAAACAAAATTTATCTAAAGCAAAAAGGTCTGATTTTCAAACTCTATCGGTTCTAAGTAAAGCAAATTACTGAATACAACTAACACATGCCCTGTAAGTAGTCAAACGGAGATACAGTGCAGTGGATTAGCTGTGAAGATGAACTATGGAGTCAGGCTGCCTGGGATCTAATCCTGGCTCCACAACAAATAAGGAGATTTACTTAATCTCTGCCACAATTTCTTAATCTCTATAATAAGGATAATCATATACTGTAATTATATCTACCTCAAAGGAAATTCAATACAGTGCTAATGTTAGCAATTTTTATTATTAAAATGAAGTACCTAAAACTGAGTGCTAAGTCATTCTCAATAAATGCCCTATGCAAAAGTTCCATACACTGCAGCAGTAAATTTTATATACAATGAATGTGAATATAATCATTATATAAAGACATTTCTAAAAAGGCACTAGGAATTCTATGTGAAATAAAATGAAACAAAACAAAACAATACAAAGTAAAATGAGTGTTATCACTATCCTTTTCTTCCATAAAGGAATTAAAATGAGAGCACATCTAGTCTCACTTTGTAGAAACCAAAAATAAAAATTAATACATAAATGTACATGGTCTTTTATAAGATTAGAGCTTCAAATAGAAATATCTTATCATAATCTTCCTATCAACAATAAGTCTTTGATAATTCTTCTAAAACAATCTCTTGTTTAGAACACTGGTTCTCATATTTGTTTGGATGGCAATGCACAAGCAAGTGAGGGTGCTCTTTACGGAAACCCCAAAATGATGATGATGTCCTTACTGGTATCCTAAGAACTAGGAAAAACTTCACTAGATTACAGAGTTGCCTATATACATGCAACACATACACCATTTTCTCCAGTATGAAAATAATAACCACAAACCCAGAACTATGAAAAATCTAAGCAAGATCAACGTAATTTTTTCATTAACATTAATTTGGTACTTGTTAATAGTAGTTAACTTTTGAGTAACTATTACGTGCCAAGCAATATGCCAAAGAAATTTATATGTGTATCTTACTTGTAACTTACCTTGCTCATAATCACATGAGGTATTCATTATTATTTTTATTTTGACAATGAAATAGCAGGTGTCAAAGAGGTTAGACATAATTTAACTGAAGTTCAAATAAGTGGTAAGTAGGAGTGAGGTTTCAAACCAATCCTGACTCAAACCTTGCACTTTGAACCACAACACTACACTTCTACATTATGCGATAATATCTAAAAGTTTAAACATCTTACATAACTATATTTAAATTTAATACTATTAAAAATAATTAATATTAACCAATTTTAAGAACAGAACATAAGTATCAATGGGAGGACATTTAAGAACTCTTGTTGGGGATTTAATGTATGCAGGTGATTATAGTTAGTAATATTGTATTTATATACTTGAAGGTTGCTAAGAGAGTAGATCTTAAATGTTTTCAACACAAAAAGAAATGGTAATTACATGATGCAATGGAGGTGTTAGCTAATGTTATGGTGGTAGTCATTTTATAATAAACAAAGGTATCGAAGCAATACATTGTATTATCTTAAACTTACACAATGTGATGTGTCAATTATATCTCAACAAAGCAGGGGGAGGCCGTGGGGAAGAGAATTGCTGAGAAGTTCCTATTAGTTATTTACTCTGAAAATTACTCCTAAGTTCCAAGTCTAAGGTGCTTTGTTAAGTATACAGCTAAAGAAATCTAGTTCTATAAGCTGTAGTTCAAATAAAAGGCCTTGCTGCGACATAAGCCAATTGTAAAGTCAATCCTTGATCGATTAACCTAACTTAATTCCTCAAAGAGAGGAGATACTTTTAGAGAATAAAATTAAGTTTTAGGGGATAAACTAAATCCACTCTGCTTTGTTTATAGTCATTTCGGAATTTACTTATTTTAATTTGAAGGAGGCACAAAGGTTAGTGTTGTAAAAAAGAAAAAAAAATAACCCTTAGTCTTTAGTCTGATTGTTATTTGCTAAAGGAAACATTACTGAAATAAATATTCAGTTTTGTTGAGTCTTCTAACAATATTACCCTATATGCCAACGATTTCTAATTTTGTATTATTATAATTAGCATATTTATAGCCATAACTGGAAAGATAGGAAATTATATAAAAATAATTCTCATCAATGAGAACTGTGAAAAGATTGTTTATAGCTCAAACATGCCTAGCTCAATCTAACCTAAAATCTTATTATTCTGGAATGAATTTTTACTAAAAGACACATCTTGAGTCTGCACTAGATAGCTATTAAGGACAAGAAGACCTGTCAAATCATCATATTTAAAAATTATCTTAAGTCAAGCCTTAAAATACATCTACCTTATGATATCCATTGCCTGGTAAAGTATTTCAGACTGATCAACTCCAAGAACCTTCTTTGCCCCAGCTTTAGCTGCAAACATAGAGAGAATTCCAGTTCCACAACCAACATCCAGAACTACCTGGTGTAATAAAAAAACAGATGTTACTGAGAAGGTCTAGTATTTTAAGTTCTATTCATATATTTTGACATTACTGGCAAGGAACAGACCATGAAATTTTAAAATTTTACAGATCGACGATGGTAGTAATTTCTATTTGAAGAAACTGAAGGTATCATTACAATGGGTTGTTTTAAATTCTTTTTTTGAGGGCTGTACATAAGTTCTATGCCCAGCGTGGGGCTTGAACTACGACCCCAAGATCAAGAGTCTTGTGCTCTACTGACTAAGCCAGTTGTTTCATATTCTCAATAGCATGTTTGGCCATATTCTGCTACAATCAGATGCAACAATATAAATTAAGAGATGTTTTATATGAAATAAGCAATTTCCACAGATTTAATAGGGAAGTATTCTGTTTCTAATTTCCCTACTGTCTGCATGCTCTAATTTAGGCTTAGTAATTCTAAATTTTAGCAGAAATGAACTTTCTCAAGTTTGAAAGGCAGGAAATAACTTAAGCAGGATAGCCTGATCCAATACAACTAAAAAATGCTTATAAAGGAATCCTACATGTAGAATATTGTCATATCCCCTCCATTTCCAAAATTAAATATTCAACTCATTTAAACAATACAGGTACAATAAAAATAAATTGGCTTCCAGAACTTCAAAATGTAAGTTTTAAAAATGATACTTGGGGCACCTGGGTGGCTCAGCTGGTTAAGCATCTGCCTTCAGCTCAGGTCATGATCCCAGGGTCCTTGGATCGAGCCCCGAAACAGGTTCCCTGTTCAGCAGGGAGCCTGCTTCTCCCTCTCCTCCCAGCTTGTGCTCTCTCACTATATCTGTCTCTCAAATAAATAAATAAAATCTTTAAAAAATAAAAATAAATAAAAATGATACTCATTACCATTGGTGAAGGTAGTAAGAACCAAAGTTTAAGATGATATTGGGAACAGGTAAAAAGCAATTATTTCTAAATCAAGAACTGCATGTTATTTCCAGGATAGTATAGTGAAACCTGCTTGTCAATAAAAAACAAAAACAAATTGCTGAGGACACACATTAAGCAAAGTACAAAGAGATATATACTATTCTGTGAAATTATTGAAAACTGTAGTGCCTTAAGTCTTTCATTATTGATGGTCTAAATCCTATGCACTTATCCCAAAATATGAAATGATTTCAGTATTCTCCCGTAAATATTCACAGTTAAGAGCAGGCACTGATCACAGTGATGGGATACAGACAAACAAGACCAAGTTCCTGTCTTAATGAAGCTTACCATCTTGTGGAGAAGACCAATGAATAAACAAATACAAAATAATGTCAGGTAGTAGTGTTATAAAGAAAAATCAAGCATCAGAGTAGAGGTTAGAGCAGGGAAGAGGGGATACATCTTTTCAGAATCTTAAATAGGTCTGTGAATATGTTTCTGACACATGTGAGCACAGAACTGAAGGCAATAAAGGAGCATGCCATGCAGAGATCTGGAGGAGTGTCTTCTGGCCATGGACGATATTAAAGGCAAGGCACAGCAACACCAATGTGGCTAAGCTGGGTGAGAAAAGGTTGCTTGGAGGTGAGGTTAGGGGTTAAGAAGGGCCAAATCCCATAGAACTTTTGGATTTTATTCTGAGTAATGGGAAGCTACTGTAAGAAAAATAGAACTAGAATTAAGAATTTATTAAATAGTTCAAGAATTATTTTATTCTTCAACTAGGTAATATAGTCACATAGTTTACACACCAAAAACTGTATTTCTTATTTATCCTTCAAGAGACGTTCTATGCAAATATAACACCATACATTTTTTTCCTTCCCCTTTCTACACAAATGGAAACATACCCACTGCCCTCGCTACACACTGCTTTTTGTATTTAACAATGTAATGTAGAGATCTTCCTGTATCAATTTACAGAACTTCTTTCTCTCATACAGTTGTATAGGATTCCATACTATGGCTGTACCAGAATCTACTGATCTAGTTCTTTACTGATGGACATTTAGGTAGTTTCTGAAATTTTACTATGATAATCAAAGCTATAAATAACCTTATACCCAACCCCATTCACACATGAATAAATCTATAGATTATATTCCTAAAAGTGAAAACATTGTGTCAGAGAGAATATACATACTTGTAATCGTGGCAGACATAATCAAATAAATTATCTTCCATAGGACAATCCAACCAGCAATGTTTTAAGTGCTGATGGCCTTACAGTTGAGGCTAGCCTATGGAACATATAATGAAACTTTTGGCTTTTTGCCAATCTTGCAAGTACAAAATAATGATATATTGGTCTAGTTAAAACATGCAATTCCATTGTCATGAGGTTTAGCATCATTCCTTATGTTGCAGAGCCATCTGTGGTTCTTTTTTTTTGTAAACTATGTACTTAATATCCTATTTTCCAGTTGTTTTTTCTTATCAAATTTCTAATCAAAATTTTCTTATAAATCTTGTCAAATAACAGTTTTTTGTAAGCGAAGTAGATTAGACCTCTATAATATAACTTGGAATGTTTCTCTCAGCATGTATTTTTGTCTTTTGATTCAGCTTACAGTGACTTTTGCAATGTAGAAATTCTTTACTTACAGTAAATCTCATCAGTCATGTCTTCTATGGCTTCCTTCTGGATTTTGATCATAATTAGACTGACCCTCCCCATCTTCTTCCCCATTTCATCCTCATATATTTCCTTCTAGTTCATTTATGGTTTCATTAAGTTTGTTTTTATCATAGTATATACTAAGAGGTATGGTTTCAACTGTACTTCTGTTCAGATGGCTAATCAACTGTTCCAACATGCTATAAACAGTCTGTGTTTCCCCTACTAATTTGATATATGACTGTTACGATCTGAGTATTTGTGTCCCTCCAAAATTTGTAGGTTGAAATCCTAACCAAAAGTGATGGTATTAGAAATGAGGGTTTTGGGGAGGTAATTAGGTTGTAAGGGCAAAGCCCTCATGAATGGAATTAGTACCCTTCTAAAAGTGGCCCCACACAGATTCCTCTCTGGAGGAAGAAGGCATTTCTATGAACCACAAAGCAGGCCTTCGCCGGAATTAGCCAGTGCCATGATCTTGGACCTCCCAGCCTCTATAACTGTGACAAACAGATTTCTGTTGTTTATAAGCCACTAAGTTCATGGTATTTTTTTTTATAGATTTTATTTATTTATTTGAGAGAGAGAGTGAGCGAGAGAGAGAGCACACACGAGCAGGGGCAGAGGGAGAGGAGAAGCAGGCTCCCTTGCTGAGCAAGAAGCCCAATGAGGGGCTCAATCCCAGGACCCCGGCATCACGACCTAAGCTGAAGGCAGACGCTTAACTGACTGAACCACTCAGGCGCCCCTAAGTTCATGGTATTTTTGTTACAGCAACCCGAATGGACTAAGACAGGGACCTTGAGCATTAAGGAAAATTTCTGTATATATTTTGGATTTTTATTCTGCTCCATTAGTTTACATCATCATGTGCCAGTAATTATTCTAATTACAGAAGCTTTACAGAATGTTTTAGTATCTAGTAAGGCTGGTACACCCTCACTGCAAAATTTTTTTCACAGTGTTTCTGGAAAATTTTATATATTTATTTTTTCATAAAACAAGAGAATAAACTTGTCTAGGTTTTTTAAAAAAAGTCTTGGTATTTTTATGGGGATTGAGCTAAAATTCTAAGTTAATTTAGGGAAAATGGATAATTTGAGTTTTCCTACTCAAGAACACAGTCTTTCAAACTGTTTAAATCATCTATCATGTTCTTCAGATTTTTAAAAAAAGTTTTTTCATATAAGCCCTGCACATTATTTAAGTTTGTTCGTATGCATTTTATCTCTGTATTGTTTACTGTTACAAGTGGAGTGCTTCATTCCATTATATCTTGGAAACATAATTTACTAGAACTGACTCCAAAAGAGAGAAAATCTAAACAACCTGATTTTTGTTGAAGAAATAAAGTTGTCAAAAGGTTACTACTCTGTGTCTCCTAACTTGTGCCCTTCCAAGAAGGACAAGGCCCTATATATGCTTTCAGAGGGAGAATCTATTTCCTGTACATGTGCCCCGTCTAGAGTTGAGTCAGCACATTTTAACATAACTACTTTAACATACAAAAAAGTTAAGGATTTTAAGGTGGAAACTATACGACATTGCAAACAAAATTAAATCATTTTCTTAAGTTACAAATAAAATGTGTTAACCATAACAGCAAGAAAATACTATAATAGATACCATATGCACTTATAGTACATTAGTTTGAAATATTATATGGCATAAAATAAAAGTGGAAAAATATATAACACAATCGTAAGTGATAAATTCCCAGAAACTTACACTGAAATAGGATATTTGCAAAATTTAAAAATTAAAAATAAAAAGTCAGTGTGGAATTTAGAAGTTTGATACTAGAGTATTTGGCAATGGTGACTGGGAATATCAATAATCACACACCGTTTATGGAAAGACAGGCTGGCAGCACTAACACCATCCAAGGTATAAATAACCTTTTTTGACCCAGGAAGTCTACTGCTAGGAATTTAACTTATTATTGTACTCTCACATATATTAAAAACAAATTTAAATATTTTATATTTTTATATGAATTGTTTCTAGTATTAAAAATGAAAACTTATGGACATTCTTACATTGGACATATAAACCATTAAAAGAATGTTAATTAAGGAATCATCTCTAAGAAAAGTTGCTGAATGAAGAAAGCTGAGTACAGAGGGATATATATCATATACTCCAATTAAAGTATGTGTTCTTTTGTAACCCTATATACACACACACATAATTTATATACATACGCATATGTGTGTGTGTGTGTGTGTGTATATATATATATAAAAGTCTTACTTATGGGGCGCCTGGGTGGCTCAGTTGGTTAAGCAACTGCCTTCGGCTCAGGTCATGATCCTGGAGTCCCGGGATCGAGTCCCACATC